ACAAGCTTTCCAAGTGGGACCCCTTTGTGGTGAGGCCCGGAAAAAATAAGGGGGTTTTCTTTTTTTTTTTTTTTTTTTTTTAAAAGTTATTTGTTTTTTCACGGGGGGGGGGGGGGGGGGGGCAGTAAAGCAGACCAAACATAGCTGAGAAAGGCCCTTCTCGTAGTCTCACATCGAGCTGCCAGCAAATGGTATTTTTGATTTTTTCTCGGCGAGTCTTTGTGACAGATATATATACATTTATTGAGAAAGAATGCGGCCAAGGGGATTCCTTGGGGAAAGGATCGCGTTTTTCGCCCTGCACTTCTTCTGGAAGAAATCAAATTTTCAACACTTGGATGTGGATGGGAACGTAGAATGTCAGCCTGAAGGCCACCGGCCTGTAGCACATCCCCCTCGAAGCAGCGGGTCTGCCCCAACCATGGATTATTTTTCTGTAACGGTTCACATGTTCCCCAAAATTGGTTCACGGTACATTTGGGCCAGCTTCTGCCTCGACTACTACATGCTCCCGATGCCGCAATCCTTATCCCACAATGCTTTTTTTTTTTTTATCGGACTCAGGTGGTGAAGCTCCACTCCCCCTCGGACGGCAACGAAACCAAGGAGATCGGTCGGACGGAGATCATCACCAACAGCCTCGACCCTAAGTTCGTCACCATCGTGCCGGTGGTGAGAGAAAAACGCCAGCCTATGAAGGGGGGGGAGGGGGGGAGAGAGAGAGCAGGCGATGAGAGAGAGAGAGCCCATGCGTGAATAGTGCCGATACAGCAGTGCCGATCGTGAAAGCAATAGAGTGGGGGCAGATGGGAAGGTCAAACTAATTTGGTAAGGGACAAGGGGGCACGTATTGGTTTGTTTATTGCAGGGGGAGGTAGTTCTCCGAGAGAGAAAAGAGGCGAAAGCAGTACTGCCTAAGGTGGGAGACTAAAGATGCATACGAGAGGAGATATTTCGAACCGTTTAGGAGGTGGAAGGGGCTGGAGCTTGTACGGTAGGATAGGGTCATCGTCGGAAGAGCGCCCCCCCTTCTCGCGTTCCAGCCACCGGTATCACCACCGGTATCAAGTCTCAGGTAGCACGGTGCATGCTGTCATCTACAGAGGTATCTCCTGGGTGGCTCTCCTGAAGGGATGCCGGCACGATGTTTCACTCAACCATGTCGAAAACTCCACCATATGTCCTCGCAGCAATAGTCTCACTGTGTTTTGTTTTCCCCGATTTTGTTCTTGTCTAGTGCCCCCCTGTTTTTTGTAAAACCATTTACTCGGTTCTCACAACCACAAACCCCACACAGACTTTCAAGTTCGAAGAGGTCCAGACTCTCCGCTTCGAGGTGTACGACGTGGACACGGCTTACTCGTCATCGGACGCCACGCTCATCGACCCATCAAAGCAGGTGCGGGTTACCCTGTGACGGTGTTCACTCTCGGGGCTCACAAGTCTCTGCGTCACTCTGTACTACGCGCGTGTGCCTCTCCGCCGCTTTTCCATGCCAACGCGGGAGGAGCATTTATCCTTCTCCTCTGCCCCCCCCCCCCCCC